TTTCTATTTAAAACACCCCAAAGACGTTCTGTTGGTTTAAAGTAATGCAGCATCCTTGTCTAAGTCACAGTTTTAATGTTGTTCTTCTGTAGAAACTTAAACGATTTTTGCAGTGTACTTTGGATAATTATCATGCTGGAATATTCCCAGTGGGGTCTTACAAATGACAAAAAGCCCCTCTGTGTTGTCTTACAGGCGGCTGTGAGCCTGCCTACAGCTCCCAGCAGGAGAAGACGGGACCTGATGATGTGCAAAGCCATGTGCATCGGCATCGCCTACTCCTCCAACATCGGCGGCATCGCCACGCTGCCAGGAACCTCTCCCAACCTCATCTTCTCTGAGTACATCAACCAGTGAGTGGCTCGCTGGACATGTGTGGACGAGAGAGAAACATATTTATACAGTGTAAAGTTAATTTGTGAATTATGTTTGCTTTTATCAATCCACTGGACAACAGCAACTATCCATCCATCCATTATCTATACACCACTTAATCCTCACTAGGGTCACAGGGAGGCTGGAGTCTAACCACCGAGCCACCTTGCAGTCCCACAACAGTAACTAGAGGGAGACAAAACAAGGGATTAATGACTGTGTGTGCGTTAAAAAAAAGAAGATGTTGCTTTTAAATCCACAAACACTCTCTTTCCATGCAGGATTTACCCAAACTGTAACTGCATAAACTTTGGGAACTGGCTCCTGCTGTGTCTGCCTATCAGTGTCATCATGCTGCTGCTGACATGGATGTGGCTGTGCTGGCTCTTCATTGGCTCAGAGTGAGTGTCAACATACCATCAGTACTCCTATCTGTGTTTTTATGCCAACTAACCTGTGCATGTCACACTGTATGGTTCTTGTTAGTTCCGACCTTCCTTTTTCTCTGTCAGTTTTATTATCACACTTTCTATAATTTGTGTTTCAATTAATTAGTCCATCACATTTAAATCAATGAGAGTAGCCTCAGCAGAAATAAACAAATAACGAATGACATAATGCAACAGTTTACCAGTAACACAAACAAACTAGTTTTAAAAACAACAACAATATAATTTTCATGAATGTCAGATTTATTTCAGGACTGCTGTATTAGAACACACTAGGTTTAGCTAAGTTAATAACTGGCAATTGTAGGCATTTTAACATAAACTGTAAGGCCACAAACTTGTGAAGGTAGCAAAGAATATCCTGCCTCTTGGCTTTGGAAAGCTAAAATATTACTTTATGTGATAAGTTAGCTGAACAATGTTTACAGATTACCTTCAAACAGATAAACACACTTAAGTCCAATCCTTACAGTTTCTACTTGTGTCTAGTTATGATACTGGAAAAAAAAAGCCAATGTTCAAAGCAACTTTATCCCAAAGTGTATCTCTTATTACACTTGATTTCTTGGCAAAAATGTGTCATGCTGATCATTTTGCATTATCTCAAAAGAATCAGTTAAATCTTGGAGGAATCAAATAAGTCAATTTTAATTTAGTGAATGTTTGATATCATTTCATAACTCTGTGATACTTTCATTTCCACACTGTCTGAGCTGAGACATGAGCAAAATGCTTATATTAGCATTAGCAGTGTGACGATGTGAGACAGGTTAATGGCAAGCCGCTGACCTTCGCACATGCTCAGTAATCTCTTCATTAGCCTGTCAGCACCATGGGCTCTCAGTGTGCTTTTAAACAATCACAGTTACCACAGTCATTCATTAAGTTAAATACTTCCTTATCAAAAATGTAATCTGTCTGTACGCGCTGAACACTCATCGTGTCTCACTCACAGCTTCAAGTTCCTGTGGAAACGTGGAGGAGAGCAATCTGAGGAAAAGAAGGCAGCAAGAAAAGTGATAGAAAATGAGTACAGGTCGCTGGGAGCCATGAGGTGATCGCTCTCATTCATTCATTCATTCATTCATGTAGTTAATCAGTTCTACAATCATTCAGTTAGATGTTAATGCATCATCTTTTCACTTACATTCATTTATTCATCCAGTCATCCTCTTACATTGATTCCCTTTTTATTTAATTATCCCTACGCCCTTTTTTTTCATCTATTAATCTCATATTAATATACTTGTGCATTCATTCAAGTAGATAGACAGGCAAGTATATGGTTAGTCGTAAGTGTATTTGCATATACATTCATTCATTTAATTTAGTGTTATATTATTAGTATATTATCATCAAGTGTTCATCCATCCATCCATCCATTATCTATACACCGCTTAATCCTCAACAGGGTTGCAGGGGGGCTGGAGTCTATCCCAGCTGACTTAGGGTGAAGGCAGGGGACTATTACAGGGCCACACTTAGAGACAGACAACCAAGCACACTCACATTCACACCTATGGACAATTTAGAATCACCAATTAACCTCAACATGTTTTTGGACTGTATGGGAGGAAGCCGGAGAACACGGAGAGAACCCACACTGCACGGGGAGAACAAGCAAACTCCACGCAGAAAGATCCCGGGTGTCCTCACCGGGACGCGAACCGGCGACCTTCTTGCTGCGAGGCACCTGAGCGACCTTGCAGCCAAGTGTTCATTTGTTTATTCAGTTAGATGCCCACACAGTTTCAATCATTCTATCCCTTAATTATATGTTAAATTGTTTTTATTAATCCACTTGTTTTTTTCATTCTGACAATCAAGCAGTTGTACTATCATTTATTCAGTCTATCATATTCATTCATTCATTCATTCATTCATTCATTCATTCATTCATTCATTCATTCATTCCCCCTCTCCAGTTCTCAGGAGATCTTCACTGGAGTAGTTTTCTTTGTGATGGTGTTGTTGTGGTTGACCAGATCTCCAGGTTTCATACCAGGCTGGGCCTCTCTCTTCCCTCAGTGAGTCACACATCTTGTTTATTTCAGTGTACTGTATTTTTACCATCCATCACGTCTGTGTTCATCCATAGCTAAAAATAGTCCCGAAGAAGCGTACTTGCTCCCTCTTGTGTGACAATTTTTTGAGTTAACATTGGTTTCAAGAAGTTCCTGAGCTTTTTTCTTTTCTTTTCTTTTCAAGGAGTCTGTTAAGAAAAAGATTCTTCTGGAAACACTTATATTCAATGCTTTGTTCAGTGGCAATAAAACATGTTCTAACTGATCATGTCTCTTTGTTCTTGTCCTCAGCAGTCACTCGGGCTACATCACAGATGCCACCGTGGCTCTGCTGCTGGGACTCCTCTTCTTCATCGTACCTGCCTATGGACCCTCCAGAAAATATGGTAGCCACACAAAATGCTACACTTATAATTAGTAAGTTAGATGGATGAACAGCCTCTCCAACAAGTAAGCAGCCACAGAATGTAACTAAGTACGCTTGCTCATATACCTCAAGTATTTTTAGTTTATCTTACTGTATTATTGTGTTATTATTGTGTTATTTCACTCCATTTCAGATGGAAATATTGTACTTTTTATTTCACTACAACCATCCGACAGCTTTAGTTACTAGCTGCTAAGTCGATTAAGATTTGACCTGCAACACAAATAATACGTTTTAGCTGATAATATCTCCCTAAAGGAAAATGTTGCCACTCACAATAGTCTTTTCTTTTTCTCATCAGAAATAAATGATCTGAATTTGGAAGAATAAGGCGCAAAAGAATAAATCTAAGTGAGCCCTTCCCAATGTTTCCCATCCACAAGCCATATACACACATAAGCCCTCACACACCAGAGAAAAAAATCTCATATTGATCATAAATTCAGCTCCAGGAAAAACAGGCTGGACAAAGACTATTTTGAATTTTAATTCTCACTAGTTTTGTAATTGTAGGTTTTAACTTTGAGTCTCCGACTAGAATTAGTAATGTATTAATGCTAATAACTAATAACTGGCTGTTTCTGTCTTTCTGTAAAGATGTGTATTTATGCTCTCTCCATCCAGAGGCCATGATCTCCTGGAAGGAGTTCCAGGCCTCAATGCCGTGGAAAGTTGCCCTGCTGGTCGGTGGAGGATTTGCACTCGCTGAAGGCACAAAGGCAGGGTTGTGTTTGTCTGTGTGAAGCAACAACTTTATACATCCAAAGCTGATGTCTCATATTAGACAATGTCAGACAGATAATTCGTAAATTTGCTGCAGAACTCACATTCTTGAAATTTCCTAAGCTTCCTGAGACAATATGTTACCACGCAGAAAAAAAGCATAGTTCCCTTAATTTTTGGACAAGAAACACTAAACAAGACTGTGCATGCTGGTATGACTGATTAGTAATGAAAGGAACTTTAATGTCAGCCGCTTCCTTGAGCACAGCGGCACAGTTTTGTCTGCTCACAGTCACATTTATTTAAAATAGAACTGGACAAAGAAAGGCCTGAAATCAGAAAATGATCAAGGACAGTAGGAAACTTGTAGTTAAAGTATCACTACTTTCAAATCATTTAAATTAACTCAACAAAAAACTCTCACCTACATGACCTTTTCCTTGTGGTGTCTGTCCATTCAGATACTTCTGGTTTCATCTGTTGAAGTTTTAAGATATCACCCTCTGAATCCCAACTCATCCTGTCTGACCTGCCTGTGCAGTGATTTAACACACTGTGTTTTTGGGTGGAGGCACAAATCACAGATATGTGAAAACCTGCACAATAACAAGCATCAAACTGCATGAATAGATATGGAGGGAAGAAAAACAATATGTCTCTTTGTAATTTGTGTGAGCGGACCCTTTAGTTGACTAAAACCAAAATAAGACATACACAAAAATGGTTCAAAATCAACTTGCCAGCTTGCCAGTTATCATGATGTGTGTGTGTGTGTGTGTGTGTGTGTGTGTGTGTGTGTCTGCAGGAGTCGGGCCTGTCTTTGTGGGTGGCTGAGCTGCTGACACCTCTGGGTGATCTTCCAGTCTTGGCCACAATCACAGTTGCCTGCATCATTGTCACCACACTAACCGAGGTGGCCAGCAACGCCGCCACCATCACCATCTTTCTCCCCATCCTTTCTCCTCTGGTAGGTGTTTAACTGCACAGACAATCTGCTGACTGACTTATCTGGCTCTGTAGTATCTGCTAAATATTAAAAAATAACATCAGACACACTTTTCACAAATAGACCATTCTAATTATACAGTTTTATATTTATCAATTACAGCATTTTCTGTTCCTTGCAAGCTCACCACATTGAGTGAAATGCATTGTATATGTCAAAAAGGGCAAATAAAATACGTGGAGCGAATGTGCACAATAAAACACAATACAGACACGTTCCAAACAGCAGATACATTTTGATCAGTATCAAAAATGATGTTTTCCACAGCTACATGAAACATGGTCATATTTTTTTTTGCAGTGCATTTTAGTGTAAATGCTGTTGACATAAGATTGATGCCATCATATAAATGGCTTCACACATCTTTTTTTTCTTCTTCCTATTGTCATTTCACTAATTAGCTGTTTGCAAACAATTACATACCATCTGTCTCTTGCTGCAGATTGGTGTGTTCACGCCGTGCTACTCTACACCATCCAGACAACAGTATGATTTCCTAAGGAAGCTGTTTCTTCATATGTTGAGTTGGCTTAAGACCTAAATGTTGTCTGCTGTCTCTCTGTGTGAATCACCATTTCTTTTATTGTCTTTTCTGGATCGTCTCCTGAAATTCAGTTCCAAGGAAGGCACAATTTCATGTATCTTGAGATCTGGGCAGACACATTTACGACTTCAGGGGCTATCAGCTGGTATCAAAGTATCCACTGAGCACACACCACAACAAAAGAAGTTGGTGCAATGCATGCAAGAAAATGTTGCACAAATGAAATATTTGAAGCACATACAAAACAGCAGATATACATTCATCCAAGTTTGCATTTATTCATGGAAAAGTCTGACTACTTTGTCTTGTTAACAATTATATTTTCAGTGATTGAACACTTTTAATACGACAATGATCTTACAAAGTTTTTAATTTTCCAAATGAACCTCTCATAACTTATGCAAAGCCTTGTTATTTATAAGAAGCATCTATCGCAATAGATTAGACGACTTCACATGTCGTTGCTGTCAAACTAGTTTTTAAAACTATACAAATATGACATTATACGACATTTAAAGGCAAAATGGTTTAATTTTATTTCATAAATCGAGTGCATGTAAGTGTTTATAGGGAAATCAAATTGTTACTACTACAAACTATTATATTATTATACTCAGTGTCACTGACAGCAGAGAGGAGCTTTCGCCACTATAATTAGGAAAAGGACTGAAGAATCAGCAGTTTCTCAGTGAAGGAGGACCCAGGAAAGGATTACATCTTAATTAACTTGCTTGCCAGCAGCAGCTAGAATGATGCCGGGATCTGCTCTATCAGGAACAAGTGTTGTGTCCACTGCATACTGCTGGAGCCACTGAAGCTCAGCTTCAAGCAGGGTCCTTCTCTCTCCACTGAGAGTCTCATTCAGCTGATTCACAGTTCTCGCGACAGTCCTTTCATATAACAGTTGATGGATGTGGACCTCTGTCCAGTCCTTGTTGGGTGGTGCATCATCGATGGAAGACAAGCCCTGGATAAGGTGGAGAATCTGTGGTGTGTTTAGAGTGTCTTCCAGCTCTTTGAAGAAGCTTTCAGCTTGTTTCTCCTCTGTTCTCTGCTTATCTTTGCTCATCTTGATGACTTCAGCCTGGCCTTGACTCCTTCAGAGCGATGAAGATCTGAACAACTTCTGCTGTCTCTCTGTCTGCAGCTTACTTACTGAGCTCCACACAATGTTTGATCACTTGAATCTTCACTTGTCTCTTCTGGATCATCTGCTGAATTTTAGCTTCTGTTTTCTCCAGCTTGCCCTTCTTTTCCTATTAACCATCTTTCAGAGGAGCAACATTGTGGGTCTTGTGGTCTGAAATGACGCAGATGATGCTGACACACATCTGGTTGGTCTTACAGAACAGCTCCAGCAGTTTTCTCCATATCCTGCTTTCCAGGTTGTCCACATGATCAATCAGTGAACATCTCCTGGTTTGAAAACCCGTTCTTTCTGATCTACTGCTGAATTCTGTTGAACTGACAGTCTGAACTGAGCAGCCATCTCAGAGATGAAAGTGTTGACTTGCAGCTTAGGTCTCATGTAGAAAACCTTTATGCACACAAGACCGTGATAGAGAACATTATTTCCCCAGTGTTCACTGATTCAGCTCTTACAGAGGTTGTGTCCACACAGTGTACTGACTGGATCAGTGAACACATCCAGACAGATGGAGCACAGAAACTGTCAGCAAACAGCTGACAGCAAACATCTCTTCTCTCTGAGAAGAAAAGAAAGTGTGATTGTATTGCACAAAATTCCATCTGGCATTTTACAGAAGCACAACGAGTGGGACTAACATTTTGTACCTCTGCTGTAAATATGATCAGCTACACATACATGTCTTTTGCAGAAAGTCTGCTGTTGGGAGAAAAACCCAATGAACTCAGTTATTTTTTTTCTTGAAGAATAAATGGAGAAGCCTGTATAGACTGCAGCCCTGCTGTCATTCTAACAAAGTTCAGCTTTATTTCATAATATGACAGAAAGGCTCCAGGACCAGGTCATTGAAAGATTAAGAACAATATATATATATATATATATATATATATATATTAAAGTACCTTCTTTACTTTTCTCTGACTGTCTCTTTGTAAACCTCCAACAATCGTCACAGGAGTCCAAAATTCAGCTCACTGTGTTGCCCATGAGTGTCATGTTGTTAGTTATCATCTGCTATGTTTTAGCATCAGTAAGTCATTGAATCATCAGTTGATGGGCAGTTAACTAACCAGTAATAACGCATAGCCAGACCATTCTCTTGCGCTGACCCAGCACTGTGTGAAATGGTCTGGCTGCTCCTCAATATTGTTCTGCTGTAGGACAAACAAACTACTCTGGCACATTCATATGTCTTTAAACCAATCACAATTCCCTTAGGGGGTGTTAAGCAACGGTGTCCCCTCAAGATATCCATCCTCTATACACCACTTAATCCTCTGTAGGGTTGCAGTGCAGCTGGAGTCTATTCCAGCTGACTCAGGGTGAAGGCAGGGGGCACCCTGGACAGGTTACCAGTCTATCACAGGACTACACATAGACAAACAAGCACACTCACATTAACACTTACAGAATCATCAGTTAACCTCAGATGTTTTTGGACTGTGGAAGAAAGAAAGGGTCCCTGGTGAGAACCCATGCTGCACAGGGAGAACATGCAAACTCCACACAGAAAAATCCCATCCCCACCCGCATTTGTGCAGGGAGTCATTAAAATGGACAGTTCACCAAAAAAATGACAGGGCTGCCTATTGCACGATCCATACCTTCAGCGAATCTTAAAATATTCAGGGAGGTAGGTTACTTGCCTGGAGGTTGTTGTTGTTTCCCATAGCAAAGGGGATTTTGAAAAGGTAGCGCAAAGATAGCGAAAGGGGAGGAAAAAGCCACATGAGATGTGTGGTCAATTGCAGTCTCATACCAACAATCCACATCCAGTGAGTCAAATTAGCTGCCTAGTCATGTTCATGGAGGTGTACAGACCTGCATTTGTAGCCTTATTATCACTCTGCCTATACCACTGGGCCACTTGCTGCTCCACTGCATACTTGTTTCTTTTGAAAATCAAATACTTACACCTGTGAGCATGGCAGGTAGCTCTAAAATGCTTGTAATTTGCTCCTTGGGGGTTGGGAGGCAGCTTTAGCTGATGTGGACTCACAGCAGTTACAATGGTTTCCATTGGAGACCTAATCACACAAAAAAAGAAATGTAGAAAGACTGTCATTGAAAGTTTTCAATCACTGTTCATTGCGTTCTGAATAATCCTCACTGTGCCTAATTAGCGTGTTATCCTTTCAGCAAATCGAGCAGAATGGGCCAGTCAGCTAACATTTGCAAACTAAAAAGCTACTAACGTCTCAAGGAACAATGATGGAAATACTTCTGGGACTTTATCCTTTTATCCTTGACAAAGCTCAAGTTTTATTGTATTAAAATGTCGAAATAATGTCAATCGGCCAAACAATCCCAAACCCAAATTTGTTGGCTTAACATGTACCAGTCCAACTAACTGAATTAGTTGGGTTGAGTTTTTTCGAGTTGATGTGAATAATGAATGGACAATGAACAGGGTTCAAACCTCTGTGTATGAAAGACATACACATACGCATGCTCGTTATTTTAGTATTTAGAGAAATAGTTGTGTGATTCGTCTTCCCTCAGGCAGAGGCCATCCACGTGAACCCGCTATATGTCCTGATCCCCGCCACCCTGTGCACTTCCTTCTCCTTCCTCCTGCCAGTGTCCAATCCACCCAACGCTGTTGTGTTTGCCTATGGACACATCAGTGTCATAGACATGGTGAGTTCAGGGTACAAAATAGGAACAGCAACAGTTTACGCTTTCAATAAATCAACATTGGCTGATGCTTGACGGTAATTCTCATTGCTGCTGCTGCAGGTGAAGGCAGGACTTGGCGTCAACGTGATTGGTGTTCTTGCTGTCCTGCTGGCTGTGGCGACGTGGGGAGTGCCTCTATTTGCTCTGGATAAGTACCCTGACTGGGCGCCGGTTCTCCCTAATTTCAACTCCACAGCACCTTGACGATGGCTCTTTAGAGTCACTTGAGCAAAATGTACCTTAAAACACAGCTGAAAACAGTTCTCACAAAAAATGCACTATTTTCTCCTGTTAGAGCAATGTTTGCTAAAAAGTACAGTGCTTAACTGTTGAAGAAACTTGCTGAATCTTTTTTTTTTAAAGGCAACTACATGTTTGTGAGATATTTTTTAAAGATTTGCATCTTCAATAGGACATAATGGGCCTGGAGCTGACAGCCACAGGCAGAGTACAGAAGTGAATATATGATGTGCGGTTCTTTCAACAAGGATTACTTAATATTTACTGATTGATCAGTCTCACTGCCTCTAATTGGCTTGGCCCTGGCAGAAGGCAGATGAGAAATGTTGAGCATCAAAGTTCAGTTGAGTTGAACTTGATGAGCACAGCAGTTCCACATTGGCAATCGGCAGCACTACATCTTTTCCTTTTCCCCACAGAAACAAAGGGATAGTGAAATCCAGCATGACTGGAGTCACAATATACATTAAGATTATACCACAATGATTGTGTTAATATTCATTCAAATAATTCCTGTGTTCAGTTAAATTTGTTTAGAGTTGATATTTCAAAAGGAGTGACAGCATCAGTGCACACTATATGAAGAGCTGTTAGTAGTTGGACCAGATTGCTCTTTATTGCCAGATTCCTGGAAATTATGTCACGAGGAGCAGGAGCAGACCAAACCAGAGTTGAAAAGAAAGCAAATATTTAACTTAAATCTAAATGTAAATAAAATGTAACTTAAAGTGGACAGTGACACTACGCAAATTGAATGATCATGTTGCTTCATGTCCAAAAGATATGGAAATAATGACGTTAGCTTCTTTATAAGGTTACGTGTCAGACGTTGTGTTTTTAGGTTGTCATTCTTCCCCCAAGTGGTCAAATTAAGGAGGAAAATGTTTGACAAAAGGATTCCATCCATCCATCCATCCATCATCTATACACTGCTTAATCATCACTAGGGTCACGGGGTAGGGTTTCTATGTGTTACTATATTTTGATATTGTGTATTTCTTTTGTGTGTGTTTGTTGCTTTTTTTTTTTTGTTAGAGCTGTAAAATTAGAAAACTTAAAACAGTCACTAATTGTCTTCTGCAAATAAGTCTGTGCAAATATTAATGAATGTACAGAAGTGGCAGCAATGCAGTTCTGTGACTTGCACTCCTGACATATGCAGCTGGATATCTTCAAACTGGACCGAGCTGAGCTACATTACAAAAACATGAAGTTGCTTTAATGATCTGTACTTCTGTACTTGGTTTATGTGTGTATGTGCTGTTTTGGTTGTTCTGTTAAGAACTATAATAAAGCTCTAGTTTGACGCATCGGCCTTAAAATAGACCAGAGAGGCACTGACCTCTAGTGGTCACAGTGCTCCTTTGTTACACCCTATGAGTCCATTCAAGTCCCTTTTTGAAATATGTTTACTTAACATACTCATAATATATGTAATTTCTAACCCAAACAATGGATTGATCAATAAAAAACAGCACATACAACAAAACAGTTGGATATGCTCCCCCCTCCCCAACACACACACACACACACACACACACACACACACACACACACACACACACACACACAGATTCAATGCTCTAATTTTACTTTTCGAGGCTACTACACAGCAGCCAATTGCATATATGTTTGTTGGATTGTTTGCCATCACTGATATATTACTTGTATAATTTTTGAATAAATGATAGGCTTAAACACCTGTTTATTAAAACTAAGGTTGACTACATCATTATTTATGTTACTTAGATTATTGTTACTGTCAGGCCTGCATCTTTAAATATTTTTCTCTTTTAGCTCTCCGGCTGAGTGCGAGTTAAACACATGTTGCTTCCTTTTCCAGTCGAAGATTGTCTATTAAAGAAGACCTATCACACAAATAACTAACTAAGTAAATAAAGACAACATTAGAAAAATAAACCTATATATAGTAGTTTATTTAAATAAACAATTATATAAGTATAATAATAAATGTTGCAGTTGCTAAGAGTTCAAATCTGGGTGTAGTGATTGGTAATAACATTTTTATATATATTTTTTAATACAAATTCCAAAGTTTGATTCAGTAGGACATGGAATATGATCACAGTGAAGTTTGTGATTTGTGATTATAGTTCATATATGAAAAAAAATGGACCTTACTTGTGCTCATTATTAATTGCAGTATACAACAACAAAAAAACCCTTCAGTGCTGTTACATGTGCATGCATAAGCAAACCATCTGAATCAAGCAAAAGAATGTCAGCATCTGCCAATGACAACACTAAATGATGTATGAAGACACACTATTGATTAAATACACTGAGTAGTTGTAACAATACTTATTAACGAGAGCGATAAGCCCTATTAGAAAATGTGTTTTGGCAGTCTTTAGATTGTTTGTCTTGGTCTTACATAAACACAGGGATTATGGGGCCTGATTCCATTTGGTAAACTATAAAGTCTCACACTAAACTATTCTGGGCTCATTTGTGTTGTTTTGATACACTTGTCTTTTGTTTTGTCCAGTTCCAGTGCTTGTGCCAAGCTACCTGGATGCTGTTTCTAGCTACAAGTACCATTGTGGTATGGGTTTGCCTCTAAACTCTCTGGTAGAGAGTAAAGAAGCATAGGGTATTTACTAATATGTCAAAATATTTACTTTAAACAAAAAGTAATGGTCAGTCTGCAGGTCTTCAGTCTGACTGCCCATGGAAACAAATTATAGAGTGAAAACATCCTCTGGTGTTTGTTTTTATCGGAGCTCTGCCTGATGGCAGCAGGTGAGTTCTGCAGTTGATGAAAAGCAGCAGCAGAGTGAGACGTCCTGTCTGTGCTGCAGCTCCGGTGCAGCCACAGGTTGCTCACCTGTGGCTCAGCGCTCACTCACAGAGCGCACGAGCGCCGTGCAGCAGCCCGCAGAGGCGGCCGCGCGCAGGGCCATACCGACACATTCATCCCGGTGTGACGGAACGAGGTGCACGCGACGACAACCTCCGATTATTAACCGTTAAAACTCCGCCTCCCGCCCCCCCCCACAAAAGCCGACATTCCTCACAGGTCGCGTCTTCAGACGCACCACCGACCGCAGCTGGCGACACTGTTTGTCGGTAAAGTGCAGCCGTTAGCGCCACGTCGACTAAAACAAACAAACTAAAGCTCAAACAGTTGTTCCCTTTCTTTCTTCCTTTCTCCGTCGGTCTGAACCAGAGTTTTACCGCCGTGCACCATGCTGGACCCGTCCTCCAGCGAAGACACCGGTGGGGAGACCGACCCAGAAGTTTTCGAGGAGCCCCCGAAGAAACCTTCTGCCTCTCCGGCAGGTAAGGTGGAAAACAGCAGCCGAGCAGCCGGGAAGAAGCGGCAGAGCGCCGCACCTGGAGGCGCCCCCGGAAAAGGTGCCAAAGACAGCGACGCTACAGGTGAAGAGGAGGAGAGGAAGGAGCGGGAGCGGATCCAGAGGGAGGAAGAGGAGAGGAAAATTAAACTGCAGATCTATGTTTTCGTTCTGCGGTGCATTGCCTACCCGTTCAACGCAAAGCAGCCCACCGACATGGCCCGACGGCAGCAGAAGGTGAGTCTGAGCCGCATACACCTGTTGTCTGGTATGGAGGGACCACTTGCTGACTTGCATTGAAAATGTGTCAATTGAAAGTGGACTAATTGTTTTGCCAAAACATTTGAAGCAAACAACAAAACTTTGCATCTTTTTCGCATCAAAAGGAGCCACCGACCAGTTCGGCATATATTTAATCCACCACTAATCACTTATTTCGACAAAGGAGTTACTTTTCTTGTGGATTCTCCTCAAACTTGCTGCCTCACCAAAACACTGTCACTGCCACTGTTGTGATGCAACCAGCAGACGTTCATTGAACAAGCGCTACATAGTCAGTGTTCAACATCCTGCTTCATTCAAGATTGTTCAGCTGTTTGTGCTCTATGCTTGTAGTAAGCCTGATGCCAACATCAACTTGAAGTAAATCTGAAATCAATCTGGTGAACTGATAAAGACAATCTACTGAACCAGGGAGTATCACCATAAAAAGAACAGGCACCAACACAGCTCCTGATCTATGCAGCTTTCATCAAAACAGATCTTTGAATAGAATATCAAGTCTAGAAATCATCACATTTATTGAAAATCTAGTTTAGGGTTATCATCTACTTTCCTCCTCTCACTGTTTGCTCTTAATGTAAGCTTAGTATAATCTGTACTTTAGGCCACTACATGCACACGTATAGACATGTAAATTGATGATACTTTATCTTAAAATGCTTTGTAACATTACATCTACATTACTGGCGTTGATGTAACTTCTCTTGGTCGAGGATTACTGTTATATATAAACATATCCAGGCTGGCATGGCTGTGCATTTGACCTAAAGTTCTTTTTTTTCCTTCTACATGTTTTGAATTGGATTGCAGGATGCACTGAAGCACTGTCTCTGGCACATTTAAGGGGCCACTCAGCTGATTTGGCGGATAGTACTCCCTGTGATTGTCCATGTTAGATTCAGATGAATGCATTTGTGCTAGGCGAGAGGGCATGCTGGGCCACTTGCTATTAAAAAAAAAAAAAGGAGGGAAGACTGTTTTGACTGAAGAACTCCCATGTACTCCTATCCTGCTGGGAAACTTGTAACAAGAGTCTAGTGGTGTTTAGTCTCAATATGCAGATGAGGCGTTTTCGTTGAGTGTGTGTGTGTGAGTGAGAGAGAGAGTAATGAATCTGCTGACAGAAGGCAGACGTGGGAGTTTTATTTGTGCACAAGTATAAAATCTAAATATTAGACCCATGTCACATTAATGAGACAAAAAAGTTGAGATCCAGCTTCAGAAATCGGATGCTTCCTTGCATATTCGCTCCAACTAATGCTGAATTATTAACAAATTCATTTAAATTTTGGAGAATAAGGCATGTGGTGCATGTGGTGGGTTGCCAGTTTGAATCCCCTGATTTCTACCCATTAGACTGCTCTGGATCACTGCAGGATGAGGAAATCAATAGAGAGGATAACAGTTCACTGTGTCCGTTGTGGATTCACCTGCAGAGAAAAGTGATGTTGAGCCCTCAGAAAAAGCTGCTGTAGTGTAACCCCAACACTTCACACAATAATCTCCACACTGTTGGGAAAAGACATGCTGGTTCAGTGAATCAATACATATGCTGATATACTCCTTGTTAAATGGATCAGGGGCCTGTACTGTGAAGCAGCTTCAGCTTAGTCTGGCTCTCTTGTGGTCATCTGACTTCACTGAGTCTAACGTACCTGGTGTCATAAAGCCTTCATCAGAAACAGAAGTGAAAATTCTGTATGAGCTGAAATGGCACTAAGTGTGGGTAGTAAAACATTCAGCACTAACCAGGGAAAAAGAGGAGGAAATGAGTGATTGCCTGTAAACTCTTGTTTGCCTGTTGGGATCCTGCAGTAATAAAGACTCCATCGAAGCACAACCAAATCTGACAGAAGGGACGGTGCTCATGAGCTCTTCTTTTTTTTTCTCCACACTCGCCTTTATAAAGATTGAGGTTGATTTTTGTTTAATCACTCCATAGAACTTTGTTGTTCGTATAACCAGCCTTTCTGTTACCAAGAGACGGGTTTGCACCTTGTTGTGAATTCTTTTTGGTCATTTTCACTTGATGGTTGACAAGAAACATGTTTGCATGCGTCCTGTAGATGAGTCTTCGCTTGCTGTGCTGTCATTAAGGACTATTCATTAATGAATGAATAAATCAATCTGTGATCGGGGAACAGTTTTTTGCACATTCCTAAGGAATTCTGCTGCCCTTAATGATAATGCATCTTCGTCATGACATCTGCAAGAAGTGTGCTCATCAGCCTCCCAGTTCATTTGCCATTTTGTAGACATGCACTAATTTTATATGATTGCAAAAAATATCATTTTTTCTACCTCATATTTTCTACCTCTTCCTTATTCTGTTCAACTAATTAATCAAAAGCTTTGAGGCTTTAAAACCCAGTCCCTGTCAGAGTTGTGAAATACTGTCTCTTTGTAACTTTGGTAATCTAAGCAAGGAATTGTACTTTAGTTGGAGTGTAGTGGGGGGAAAAAAAGAATATTTTTAACCTATTACAGCTATACCCATATTTAAAGCAATAAATTGATTTATAAATGATCTGTAAATCCCAGTAGATTAGTAACTAATCAAGGGTGTAATTTCAGTGTGAAGCTTTGAGAGGGATCAATTGAGCAGTGATTTATAAAAAGCAGATCTGTAAGCAGTGATGTTTTTATCTGTAATGTGAAAAGCAGAATATTGTTTGACTACATTTTGGGACAAAGTGACACCTGGCTGTTTCGCTGTTTATCATAGTACTGTGCAGCTGCTTTGATAACAGAGATTGTGGTGAGCAAAAGGTTCGTCGTGGTGGCATCATTGCTACGTGTTAATAAAAAGCTTCCTTATGTTGTCCCACTGGCACCAGAGAAAACAGAGGCAGCTCAAGCCATAGTTAAACACAGCCTCTGCAAATGCAGCTTTAGTTACAGCAAGTGTGGTGGATATACAAGCGATTTACACCTGGTATTAGCATGTGGTCTATGTCTGTGTGGTTTATCTGGTTAAGGGGAAATGCAGGTTCAAGCAAAAGGTAAATGCCTGGAGGGTGCAGATGCAGTGGAATGCAATTAGATCAACCAGACCACGTTTAGAGGAGGTCAGGCATGCTTTGTGATCAGATCTCAGCTAGGTTTAAATGCTGTCCAGACAATGTGACTATATTCTTCTGGGGAGAAATGTGTGCCCAAGGCTATCTAACTTTGCCTCCTCCTGCTAACTCAAGCAAACCCTCCTAAGGCTACAGGTACTAACAGTAATGGTCGCTTGGCAGTGGTAGTAAGTAGAGACCTACAGCAGCATTGCTTGTCCTGACCCAGCATTCGCTGTGATTGTTTACAAGGTACAACTGAGATAATGACAACCCATTTTATTAATGAAGAGACCCATGAATCCATGGCTAGTATTTAGATTATGTTTCCAGACACAGATCACATATTAGTACCTGGTGCATTGAGGCATAAGTATTGAACAAAGCAGGATTCGTTTCTCTCATTCTCACCACTGAATAAAGTTTGTATCTGGGATGCTAGGAGGTGAAGCAACAGAGGACTAATGGTAACACTTCACAGAAGTGGCAGTTGTCTTGAATCCCGTGAGTTTCCTGCTGGCCGCTGTGACTCTGGAGGTGGAGTTAATGATGCAAGCTGGTGCTTAGCGTGAGCCCACACGCAGTCACCCTTCAGTGGCTTCACTGTGGGCCTGTATGATGCTCACACCACAGGAATTCACCTCCCAGAAAACACTTTAATGACTACATCGTTTTTTTGTTGTTGTTTTTATTTTATTTTATTTTAAATCTGCAAAGAGTCAAGAATGTGTGCTATGTGTCGTGTTGGCTAGAAGCAAAATTTGTTTTGACTTTTTGTAATATATCTTAGACAACCAATATTTCAAAGATAATGAACACATATTTGCTTTCATTTGAATGTACATCTGGTAATGAAAAACAGCGCAGCAATCTCACCCCACTTAGTCAAGGTTATTGCTTTCACCACATTAGCTCCACTGTCCATTGTCATGCTTACCTGTTTCTCCTTGTCCAGAGGCCATGCTTGAGGAAACATATTCTATTCACATTTCATCTGTTTCTATTTCCAAATGAAAGAGGGCATGTCTTGGAGAATTTAGTCTTAGTCTGTCTTTTTCAATAATAGGAGATTTGCCAGCTTGTTCTGTTTGTAAGGGAAAATGAGGCGCCCACTTTATGGATGCAAACATGTCATTATGCAACCATGTTATCAATACTTTCGGCATAAGTAAAGATTATGCCTGTATATCATGGATCGTACGATACATCATAGCCCTAACATGTTCTACCTTATTGGTGTCTCAAGCTGCTTCCTATTTCTGCCGATGGTTAGCTTCACCAGAAGGTAATTCTGCATTCCTTAAACAATCAGATGGAGCCGGTAGTGGAGGGACTTGCAAAAAATTTATTAGAAATCAGGACAACGTGCACATATTAGGCTTTCCCACTTGAGACTTTGAAAGCTTTGAACTGGAGGAGTCATGTAATATTTATCCATTACCTTTCTCTTTATCAGTTACCTTCACCCTATGTTATGTTACCATGACTTTAGTGTAATGCAGCGACATCAGTCTGCTCCATAGAGCTCCCTCAGAAATTAATCAGACTGATTGTAAACGTGACACCTTTGGGGGAAGTTTTGTAGAGAAACTGAAGCAGAGAAACCAGCCACGCAACATCTTGTCTTTCCTTGTTTACATAGTTTGAATGTTGGACTGAAGCTCCCTCCCTGCTTGTTGTTTAAAGGAGCTTGTTTCTTTCTTGCTTCATTGAAAAGCAGCCACTTTGTAAAGTTAGAAGAGGGACTCCTGTGTTTTTTTTTTCTTTTAAATACATTGTCTAAATGAGTTAATTGAAAATGTCTCCTTGATAAAGAAAGCTTAGAAAGCAATACAAGATGTATGATTAAATGGTATTGTCTTCTGTTTCAGAGGGCTTT